AAGCTGAACTATAAAATTAAATTTCAGCAAATAAGATACTTAATTGCCTTAACAGAGGGCTTTCATTTTTATGTTATTGTTGAATGTGTATCAATATTCTATTATCTTAAACTTGAAATATTTCAAATGTAAAAAAGTATAAAAATCATACCATCTTTAAATGTTTCAGAGGAAAAAATTCTTAGTAGAAATACCTATTGCAACAATCTTAACACTCTCTAACAACGTATAAATAATATATATGTAGCTTAATCTACAAACTGCATATATGAGATAAATATTAAGTATTTATTGAAGATTTAAATAACATTTGGACTAACTGCTTAAAAGTACCAAGCTAGACTTAAGCAAAGACACATTAAATAATAAACCTTAGAACATCAGAAAAATTTAAAGTAACTCTTTGACAATACTCTGAGACAATGGACTGATAAATATATGAACGAGTAAAAAGCTACATACATAATTCAGAGCTGCTGAATGTATTTTATTGTAATAGTGTGGCAGCCTACTATATTTTTAAAAACGCTTTTAATCTTGTATCATACTCAAAGCAGGTAAAATATTATCTTAAAACCCTCAAATATAACTTTTATGAAGGGGAAAAAAGAGTTCCCCAGATCCCCTTCCCTCAAGAAGGTTGCACTAAATCCTGGTATAACCACGAACTAAGAAAACCGAAGAAGCATGGTGACAGGTGTAGAGAAGCCTTGGCTCCAGTCCTTCGACGACCCCAGCCATTTGACTGTATTCTCAGTTGAATGTGTAAGCTGACTTCCAGTGTTGGTGTCCTTGGTCATAGGCAAGAGAAATAACTGAGTAAAAATCAAATATATCTAAGGGAAGAATAGCATCCAATAAAGGTTTCGTCCATGGTTATATTTTGTTATAATGAATCTTGTTTTTAAAAGCAAGGCAGTGGCACGTTTTCCAAAATGCTGCGCTACACAGAAAGTTTGCTGTAAAAGAAATTAAGTCCTTTAAATTTCTACAAGGAAACTACTTCTCTAGACTTTAGAGATCTCCAAGAAAAAGGACCTTTCTATAATTTACATTAAGCTTCTGGCATTAACTCCTTTATACCTCTTCTAAATTTATTTAGAAATTCCTCTATCTTTCAACTGGCTATGAGGAAGGAAGCAAATGCTCCATCCATTTCTTTTTGTCCCTAGCATGGCACTAGAGGCACTATGCTTGTATTCATTCAGTCATTCATTCTGCAAATACTTACTGATTCCTCACTGCTAAATAGTTTAAGAGGAAGTAGACTAAGCCATAACAAATGAGAATGCCTTGCCCAGACAACTTTTAGTAGGATGATAAAATATTAGGAAATTCTTATTCTGACAATAGAATTCAGAATAAGGGAAAGATAGAGCAGGAATCTACTCCAGTTTGGGGAAGGAGAGTTTAGAGTAAGCCAGGTTTTGAAGAAATCAACCACACTGGGAGACAGGAGATGAAACAGGACAGGTAAAGAGCTGAATGTGTAAAATGGTCCCCAAATCAGGAAGTATCTTAGATTAGAAAATCAGTAACTAAGATAAGGTTGGAGCCATTCAGGAAGTAGGGAACAAACTGGTGGGATTAAAAAGTGTAAGAATAAGAGGGTCATGACATCTAAACATTGGTGATAGCCAGTCTTTTTCTTACATAAAATAATCAAAGTTTTGAACATAATATTAAAGGTCCATAGTCAAAAGACCTGGACTATAACCTGATCTGTTACAGGTCATATGACCTTGGGCAAGTTCCTAACCCAACCCAAGCCTTTTCCTCTCTCTGTAACCACTGAATCACTCTAACAACTGAGACTACAAAGATAAACAATATATAGCTCCTGCTCTTATAGTCTATCCTTTAAGAGTGAAACAGCTATAAAAGGAAGACCGCTAAGACCTTGCAAAGGATGATGTCTGAGAGTTGATGCAAAGCTACTTTTATCGAGAAGAAATGAGGGCACTGAGAGCCGAACAGTACGGGTATAAAGCTAGTAAGCTCTAGCTAGCGAAGGAAGGGTTTTTAAATACAGCAATGACATCACTCATCTCAGCACAACCATGGCACTGAACACCACAATTACAATGGACTTCAGAACAGACACATTTAGAACAGTCAAAAACTAATTTTTTTTGTTAAAAAAAAAAAATCCCCTCCAGGGGGCTAGGGAAATGGTTCCACGATTTAGAGCACTGGCTGTTCTTCCAGAGGACCCGGGCTCAATTCCCAGCACCCACATGGCAGCTCACAACTGTCTGTAGCTCCTGACACCTTCACACCAAAGTACATAAAATAAAGTTAAAAAAATTTACAAAAAATCCTCTCCATAGCTACGTGCCAGTTGAAACGCATGCCATTTTTCCCAGCAAACAGCAAATGTCACAGTCACCTAGAAAATATATTTGCACAACTTAAAAAAAAAAAGAAAATATATTTGCATTCTTGTTTTCCCAGCACTGACTTATACATGGCTCACTCAAACCAAAGCACCCTTTTAATCTGCTGCAAAAGCAATTAACCCCATATAGGTTTCCTTTGTTTGGCTGCTTCTTCCTTACTTTGTAATGTTCTAGTCATGATACTGTGTTTTTCCACTGGTTTTCCTACCCTACCTCTCCGTTTACTTTTAAAGTTACAGTAAAACAAGACTATATTAACTTGAACCATAGAGGAACAAGATTCTTCTGATGCCAGAAAAGTTTTGCATTAAAAAAAATAAAACAAATCGTTAATAACCATGGCGAGCAAAGCACATTCGAAATATGGCATATTTATTTACAGTATATAATGTGTATTCAATATTCTAATTTATATAGTATGCCTACTAACTGTATATGTGCATGTTTACGGACATAATCTTAGAAAGAAATCTTGACCTCAATAAAACTACAATTCTATTTAAAACTGTCTAATAATACCTATCACCTATAATTAGTCACTTGTTTGAAACAAGTGCATTGCTTTTTACTCAATATAGAGGCATCATTTTTTCATCCTTTGAAATTAAGAATGAATTAAGTCACAGATGATGCCTAAGAGAAAGCATACAAGCGCCCGTTTTTACTACTTACACATGGAGTGAAGAAAATGAGGGAACATTAAAAATCTCAGACCAAAAAAAGGTCATTGCTGGTAATGACCATGTTATCACTTCTCCACGATTCTGCACTGAACCTTTCACTTAATAAAAAACTTTAAAATGTGTAAAACAAGTTTCGTGAAAGTTTCACAAGCCCTTTAATCTTAGTCGAAGAAAATAGAGAAGGACTAGTCTCTGAAAGGCAATGCTAAACTTCTTGCTACATATTATCTACCCTTTAACAATGGCGCGTGGAAATTAAGTGTTATCATTTAGTATGACTCAGAAAAAGGGGAAAATATTTAACGATCCTTCCTGTTCTAGACAAACGTTAGAGGGGTTGCTTTGGGAAGGCTTTCATTTCACTCCACCGCCAACAAACCAACTCTTCACCTCCCGAGCGTTTCTGAGAAACACACACTACTCTGCAGCGTCTTTCATCCTCTTAGAGCACTACCAACGACCTCCTCACTTTCTTGCTCAGCAGACAGCTCTGGTCAGAACCTGGACTTTCTGCGGACCGGATTCTGAAGATCTGTGTGACCTTGGGCACGTCATTTATTTCTTTAGTTTCCCCACGAGCATCCCAAAGTGAAAGGGTTTGTGGGCACAGTTCCGAAGTAAAGCCGTCTGACGTCTGAGAGCGAAGAGGGACAAACCTTGCGAGTTCAGAATTAGCTCCTTAGAGAGGCCACATCAGGAAACTGGAACTGAGTCGCAACTGTCAACACGGGCTCTCCTCTTCCCCCCCAAAGGGCATAACCCCAGTCCTGGCGGCAGCCGACGGCCGGGCTCCGACGCTCGCTCCAGGCCCTGCACAGCTCCAGCCTCACCTGCCGGGGACCCCACCCCAGCACATCCGCCCCCTCGCCCGCCCGCCGGGGACCTGGGAGGCCGACCTCACCCTTCCCCTCCGCCCGCACCCACAGAGGACTTCCTGGAGGTGCCGGGCCGGGCCGGGCAAGCGGCATTTACAAACCAGCTTTACGCAGCTCGCGTAGAGACCTCGCTGACGCCCAGAGGGCCCCGCTCCCCGCCCGTCCGCCCGCCTGCCCGCCGGCCAGAGCCCAGTCCCGGCGCCTCCGCCTCGGCCTCCGCCTGATCCCGGGCCGCCCTGGCCGCCCGCGGAGCCGTGCGGACCCGAACCGAGAAACCTCGCCTTACCGGCAACTGAGGCACGGACTTCACTTCCCACCTTTGGAGCCCTCTTCAACTCCCGGATCAATTCACTCCGGCGACGCCGGAAGGACCCGAGAGGAACCAGGCGTTGTCCGGAATCCTGCCCAGCAGGAGCCGCGCAAGGCCCGATGGGCATTCGTAGTTCCGCCCGCCGTTTCCGTCGGCACTTCCTGCCATCCTAGGACCACATTTCCCAGATGGGCGCGCGCAAACGCCTAGGGCGATGGGTGGGGACTCGGCTAGCAAATCAGAGCAGAGTTCCCTGCCTTTACGGGAGGAAGGGAGACGGAGAGAGGGAGAGCGCCCAGAAACGGAGGAAGGGCGGGGTCGGCTCACACCTGAACCAATCCGAATGCAAAGCCGGCCCTCGGACGCCGCGCCCACCGATGGGCGGGGCTCACGGATGGGTGGAAAGGAAAAGGGCGGGGGATCGAGGTGGGGGGAGCCACCGGCCGCCGGGCTGGGTGCCTGAGTGGGCGGCCGAGGAAACCTCTGGGGACCGGAGGGGTGGAGGAGGAGGGAGGGTGAGGTGTGGGCTCGGCTGGGGCCGGGGCAGCACGATCGGCCCCCCCCAGGACAGCCCACCCCGGTGTGCACCGGGCCAGCCGATGAGTGGGCTGAGCCGGACCTGCGGGAGCGAGCGCCAGGTGCGACGCCGGGTTGGGGGGGAAGGGAGGGGGAAGCGGCCGGAGAAGCCGCCGCTGAGAGACCCTCACTTCGCGCCGCCTGCAGCCCGGGCTGCGCAAACGGCTGAGGGAGGAGCCGGAGCCCGAGGTTCTGCCAACTAGACGAGGGAAAGGCGGAGCTTGAGTCTCAGGAGGAGCCTGGGCTCAGCCTGCTCGGTAGTTTCCCCGGAGAGAGGCAGGAGCAGCATCCCGAGCGATCGCAACCCCGCCGAGCATCCTCTCCAGCATCCCGAGCCCGGGATTGCACGGGTGCGGGAGGTAAGCGTGGGTGCCCCTGGCCAACGCCGGGCACACCGCCCCGGGGTGAAAAGCATCTGACAATAGGAACGCCAGGGCAGAGCTGGAAAAGTGCTATGTTGGTTTAAGATAGCGGTGCAAACCCTTTCAGGGAAGCGACGTACAATTTTTGGACTTTAGTAGGGAGAAAAAAAAGCCAAAGGTAACTCCGTCTGGGCTTTTAAGGGCGCGGTTAGTGGTTCTGTTTTGAGTTGCACCATCAAAACTGCTCTGGGAGATCGCAAGATTGAAGAAAGCCCTGTTAATTGAGAACCAGGTAGACGGCGTCTAGGTAGGTGCGTAGCTGGTAAAAAAGCAAAAATGCTATTGATATAGAATGACTTCGGAACTATTTCACTAGGAAAACAACTTTATGCTCTTCAGTACCTGCCGCTTGTGTTGGCTTATCAGATTGTTCTCCTACGGACCTGTTATCCAGGGCGATTGTATTTCAGATTCCTGGGATTGCAAAAGATCTGGATTACAGAAGCCAATAATGAGATAGAATGGGTTTGGGTTGAGCCTATCATTAGTGTAACTTTTACCGCAATAATGAGAAAATAAATTTAAATAGGCTGTTAGTTCGCTTTCCTTGCTGCTGGCGCTGGAATATTGAAACAAAGACCTGGATTCAGCCTACAACAGGAACATATGGTGTACTTCATCGCTGCTGCTTATTCTCTCGTTTGTGTCCGGCAACGTTTGTTGGTCTTTTTAAAACAGGAGTCCAAGGGAAGCTGTGCGGAAGAGGTTTCCTCTGTTGAAGAGAACAGGTGTAAAATGATAACTTTTAGTATGTTATAATGGGTTCCGATTTCAGAGATATATCGTATCATATAATAATAGTTCATTCTCTTCGTGTGTATACTTTTTAAAATGCAAGTATAATAAATATGGGTGGAATTATGCAGTAATCCTTGGTGAAGGTAGTAGTCGTCCCTGCCTCTGGGTAACTAGGACAGATCACAGCCTTTTTCATTTTGAAAACGTAGTAAGAGTCTATCATCTTAGTTCATTTTTTTGTCATTACACAGTGCCCCAGATTAAAAATCTATTAATCATAGTACCATATTGCAGCATCTTCTTCTCTGAGATGCTTTTTTTGTGACAGTTGACTGCTCCATAGGGTGTCAGAATACTTTAATTTTTTTTTAAAGAATGGTCAATAAGGTCCAGTAATGACCTTCTTTTTTCTTCTCTTGTCGTGCTGTTCCGATTTTCTTTAGGATTTGGACTTCTGTTTTGTGATGCACACACAAAAAAAAATGCCTTTTTAAAAAATGAAGTGGCTCAAAGGTATTCTCTCCATGGTTTAGGCTTCAGTCCCGCAGAGTGCTGGTACTAATGAGAAATCTACATCACTAAGTTAATTTAATCCTTCCCTCCCACATTCTCACATGCCAAAGAACTGTGGGCACAGAAAAAAAAATCTTAAATAAAAATAAACACCAACAAAAATATCTAGGCTGAGACTGAGCAGATCAGGTAAGTATGAGAAAAAACAATGATGTTGTAGGGCAGCAAAAGCAGCAGAAGGCACTGAACTCCACAGCGACAGTCTGCTGGATGCTGGCTTTGGTACCCTCCTGGAGACCTGTCAGTTGATGTAGCCAGCTAGCTGATGTGGTCTCCAAACCATGTCTGGCAGTTTAGTAACTCTTGGATAGGATCCTGCTTGCCCTTGTTGTTTGTGATGTAGATGCATAGTCCTGAGTCAGAGTCTTAGCTGTGAAGGCGCCACTGCCGGTTCCTTTGGAAGCCGAATACCTGTTGTCTCTAGGTCATTCCCTGTACACAGTAATAATAGTCATGATAATAATATACATAATATTAATATGTTACATGACTGGCAGTGAAGTTCTTTCAGAGCCTTTACTGTGAGGACCCTTAGAATTTCTGATGGAAATCAGTCAGTAACCAAGACAATGGATAGAAAATAATTGACACCAAGCGTCTGAAATGGAGATACACGTTGAAGCTTCCCCAGCTATGTACATCGCTGGTCTGAGGCGTCATAAGGCTACAATGTCATTAAGAAAGAATGAAACTGCGATTTTAAAGGACCCGATCTTTCCTTCGGATCCTTTTAAGAATTCAGTGGAAGAGACCAGGTTCCTGAGTCACTTTGGGAGTAAGAAGACCATGTTTCTATGTGACAGCCAATCATTAGCAAAATCATACTTGGACAGTATCTTTCACCTTGAACTCTTCATCCAATTTCGTTGACGTTCACATTCTATTTAAGTTCATCAGAAATGTCTTCTGGGTTAGTGTTGGGAGAGGCCGCTCAATTTGTATCAATTCACTTTATATAAATCTATCTAGCAGCTGGGATTGAAAAGCAGATTATTTTTCCTGCTCTTCTCACTTTTTATGGTCTGCATATGCATAGCCATGAGTGAGTGTGTGGTCTGATGAAAAATACAGACGGTAGAGTGCAGACTGTCTCTCTGTATCGGAATTACTCGGAAGTGACTCCTTTAGCCAGAAGACTTGGTTAATTTCAAAGAGGGTTAGCTCTCGGACCGCTCTTTCAATTTAAAACTCCGACTTGTAAGCCTACTGAGTAAGGGTAAATTGATTGGAATACATTTCTAGCAGAAGGTTTGGTGGCTGTCATTGACGCAACAGGAGAAGGACTTTCAGGTTCAAAGTCAAATGGTATTGGGGCTGATGGGAGACAGGGAGATAGATTTTAAAAATGTTTCAGAAGCATACCCATGGCACGAGAGAAAAGATGCTTGATGTTTTGGGTTAAATTCATGTAAGAGAGTGCAGTCTTCCTTTATCAGCCACAAATTTCTGCAGACCTACATCCATAATGCAGACATTACGTTTTTATGCTGTGAGTCAGTCACTAAGTCATAAATGCATTAAATTTTGAACAGTTCAGGTTTGTAAAGGAAGAACAAATCCATCATGGTATTGTTTGGACAAAATTTCTAAAAGAAATGAAAACTAAAGTGAAGTTTATTCCCTTTAACTAAGCTACATAGACAGACAATAAAATAAGAACCAATAATTTTGATTTTTACAAAACTTGCTATGTTTAAAAACTGGTTTGGGGATCCAGAGCAATTGTCTATTCAGATAAGGATTTGATTTGCTCTTTAAATCTTACAGCTAATATTTTCCATATTTCATCCTTAGAATCTGGGTCATTTGTGCTTTCTCTGCTGTTATAGGATGTATAAATAATCGTTTTCTTGCATGTAGCACATTATATTTTTATTGTCACTCTCTGTCCTGGGAGTTGAAGCTAGGTCCTCCCTCAGGTCTGTTCGGTAAGCACTCTACTACTGAAATATTAACTCATTAAGTCTGGGATTTGCAATTTTCTCAGGCTTTGGTTTGGTTTGATAGGATGTTGTTAAATTACTTAGGCTACTCTTGAAATTTTGATCCTGCTGTCTCCACTTCTCCAGGAGGCGTGGGTCTCAGAAGCTAGAGGATGAGGCTGTTCAGGCCAGCTGCATCCTTCTTAGCTCCTGTTGCTGTTGAGCAAATTCTATCAAGGTCAGCAGAAGGAAGCCACACTGTGACCACCAGCTTAGTTAGACATGTTGTCCAGTACTGTAACCTAGACAGTGAGATATTTGTGCTTTCATAGATAAGACAGTCGGTCCCACCGAATGGTTACTGTGTAAGTTAGTTACTCTGAAAATGGCTTTGTTCTCATGTGTTGACTCGAGCCAGATTTGATTCACTTTGTGGGCTGCAAAATTTCATCTACAGTTTTGGGTGGCAGCATTTCTAAATTCATTCCAGAGGTAGGGACTATGGTTGAGAGGCATGGCTCTGCCAGAAGATGTTCCCAGGGTGAATATTTCCCAGCCAGGGAAGCCGGTGGCTCCTCCATTGGCCATCAAGCCTCCGAGGAAGACCTTTGCTAAAGTCTTCCTTTTAAAACTGAATTTCATTGTGTAAAGTCTGAATTTGTTCTTCAGTTTCTCTAGTTATTTTTTTCTACCCCACCCTCAGAAGGAGGAAAGAGGTCCTCCTTTATTATTTAAGCATTTGTAGAGTTGGGTGTTAGATACTTTTAACTTGACATTTTAGAAAAATATAATATGGTTTGTGTCAGAATTAAAAATGTAGTAAGTTTTTATCTTTTGTTACTAGACACTTGGTGAATGCTAGTTAATTGTAAATTCTTCGATAATGAAATTAATAACAGCAGCTATTTAGCTGTGTTTGCACTTAGCCAACATTTGCTAATATGCTGATGGGAATAAATTAGCTTGGAAATGAGGATTAATCCTCCCTATTCCTTTGACACTCTCCTGCTTATTACTGTGCTCCGGACTGTTCACTGGGTTCACAACTGTCTTGCTCATCGGATATTGAGGACATTTCAGACTAATACTGAGCGTCATTGGCTTTTACATGTATGTTAAAAAGCCTTATACATAGGCCATATTTAATAGTGGTAGTATGTTCAGCTGTTTGCTAAGCTTATTAGATCATTTTACAAACAAGTTCACTTTGCTTAATATTTCATTTAACACTGAATACAGCCCTCTGCCCCAACAGTTGTCTGTACTAAGAATAATCATTGCTGTCTACTGTTGAATTTTGGAGTGAATACAGCAAATCCTGTCCTTAACCTCAGCCTAACATGGTATATATGCTGTAGTTAGGAATTCATCGCTGGATGCCAGTTAAAGCCCTTCCACTCACTTCTTGCCTCACTAATTCTTTCGTTTTAAAGATATCTCTAGCTTATACTACCCCCACATGCATGTGTTTGTGTCCATGTGCATGTATTTTTTCTTACCTATAGAAATATTGAAAAATTAGATGCAAATAATATGAGGCTTCATCTCATCTAAATTCAGAATTTAGCCCTTAAAATAGAACATTTGTTCTGCTTTGGCAAAATGGCCAGAGTAAAAATGACATATGTGTTAGTTACCTTGGTGTTGTCGCCTGGAAGGGAGAAGTTCTGAGGCCTTGCTCAGTTCTGACCTGCGCTACTTGGC